CCATTGTGTTTGGTCTTGTAAGCCCACCACCAGATGGCAAGTGTAGCTAGCTAGCTAGCTATACTTCTATTTCTTAGCATCGGCAATGCAATCTTTGTAGGATCGAATGAAATCTTTAAAGTTGATATGCACTTCATCAACCCAAAGAACCAGAACTGAATGAGGAGGAAGCTAACGACACAGGAAGAAAATCCATGGATCTAACCAGTTAATATATGTGATGATTGAGTGTTCACAAAATAAAATTCAATGTGGCAATGAATTAATGTTGAAGATTCTTACACGTTTGTTCCTGTCAGATTTCACCAACACAGGCTGCGTCACAACCTAATCATTGTTTCCCAATTATTCATCCATTCTCGTTGCAAATTATTTGTCAAATCTTTCAGCTGTATGGAGTGGAGCATCCATAGTAAAATGAATAAGGACAAGCCCTCTTATGATCCAAACACTCCAGAAATGATAATTGTACGGATAAGTTGCACAGACAATTTTACAGGTGCTGAGATGGCAACGCCTAATTGGATGTTTTAAGTTTTTACCTATGTTTTATGTCCAACATCTAATGAAATGTTGTCTTGTGACATTCTGAAAATCTATTACAATGTTCCTACAAATTAGAAACTGAAAAAATAGTGATGTTGTCTACAATGTTTCTACATATGATTTTGTCTGAGAATTCGTTCATCAAATCTATTATGCTATTTAATTGTGATTTTGTACTAGAATAAACATTTCACTAAAAAATAGTTATATATCTTAATCGCAGACTTGTCTCATATAAATAAACAAGTCCACTCAGAGTTGTCTTGTTCGTTAAATACACGATTGTTCCAATGTAAAAGAAAATCTGAAAAAACCATCAACGACATAATCTTTGTATTGACGTATTCAGCATGGACAATACAATTTTGTTTGATGTTAACTATATTTAACGATAAAAGTTATGAAAACTGGTGTCTTGAAATGACATTGTTTCTTGGTTACGAATGAGGAAGATTTTTGTAAAATGTCTTGGTCGAATTTTTGAGGGAGATGTAGTGATTGTAATGTCACGTACATGTCGGGCAACCAAAGAGAAGAGGATATAAGAGTTGTGACACGTTTGAGGGAACAATGATTGCTCAATGAAAATTC